TTTCCTTGATTTGTATGACTTTGACATTTTTGAAGATTACAGGTTAATTATTGCGTAAAACAGAGCTGCTAGAAATTTGACGCGAGCCACAGAGGTAATTAAAGTTTTCTGGGGGCCACGTTAAAAGAGGTAGAAGGAAACAGGTGTAATTAATATCCCAAATACCGTCATTTTCAACCTGTAACGAATGTAAAAAATGATTCATGAGATCTTTTCCATTTTCTAATATCACGTCTTCAAAATCCAGAATGTATTTTGCACTTGGGACATACCTGAATTGGATGAGCCACATTGTGAGCGCCAAGCCACCCCATGCCCGGTGGCTACTGCTGTTGGCAGGCTGCCCCTCAGTTCGGGCTGGTCTGTGCCTCCTCCCCATTCGGCTCTGGTTATGCTTTCTACTTTTGCAGACGTGATGCAGAAGCAGTGCTCCCTCTGCCTCCTGTCTGGTGGTATAACGATGTCGGTGAAGACGATGTCTGCACTGTAAGGTTATTCCTTCCTGTGTGAGTAAGAAGCATTTTACAGGGCGGTTCTTTGAGACAAAGTAAATATCCCACTTGTACCTGCTGGATTTAGCATCCAGTGGGGTTTCTTCCCTGACTTCATTTATTTTGTAGTGGTTTCCAGCTTGCCGTGAGGTACTGTTCTAGATGCCCCACATCGCATTTTGTAATTCGTGATGCTTCTTACGTGTTCATTTTAGTGGGTTTTTCAATTATCTGTGGTCCTAAGGACAAACTGGGTAAACGATCTCAAATTTTAGTTTAAAACAAATGAAGAGGGGCGCCTGAGTGGCTCAGTCGGTTGAGCGTCTGCCTTCGGCCCAGGTCATGATCTCAGGGTCCTGGGATCGAGCCCTGCGTTGGGCTCCCTGCTCCTCGGGAAGCCTGCTTCTCCCTCTGCCTGCCGCTCTGCCTACTTGTGCTCTTTATCTCTGTGTCAAATAAATAAATAAAATCTTTTAAAAATAAAAATAAACAAAACAAATGAAGATCTGACATGATTTCAGGGAGCAGAATAATAGGACGGTGTTCAAGCCAAAAAACCAGTTAACCGAAATGCACGTACCAAAAATAGACTGGTGAGCACAGTAGGAGAGGAACACTGGGGTTAGACAGGTATTTTCCGTGTTTGTCAAACCTTCTACCTGCCTTCCCTGTGGCTCTGTTTTTGTCCTGTTTTGTCCTCCGTCTGCCCCGCCGTGTTAGTGCCCTGTCAGGACCCCTGCATATCATTAGGCGGCGCGTGCTACCGGTGAGTCACCACGACATGGTTGACACTTTGGCATAGTGTTCCATCCTGTGTGTGGTCGTGTTGGTAAGCATCTTCTCTTTCCAGGGAGGACTCTGTGATCACTTGAAGCTGGCTCCCAAGCAGTTTTCCCCCTGTTTTTAATGATTTCATTGCACATTTGTCCCCTTTGGCTGTGAGGAACAGTTAATGAGCTTGCCACTGTCCAAGCCTGCCCGCCTTCCCAGTTAATCAAGGGGGATTAGGGATGTGATCGTAACTGAAAAGTGGCAGAAAACTAACATGAAGTCACCTCTGCAATGTAACTGGGTGGATTTCTGAACATACAGAATTTCACAACAGGTGGCTGTTTGTGCTTCCACAGGACTCTCTGGGCTCAGTAAGCTCCGTAACCATGAGGAAGTGAATGTTGCTTTCACGCCCCTGGCTCCTGAAGGACTCAAGGGGTCCAGATCCCAGCCCACTCTTGGCTGTGTGTGGTGAAGCCCCCAGGGTGGGACAGACCCCGGTGGCCAGCATAGATTTCCTGAGCCAGGACCTCTGGGTGCTCCACACTCTTCTAAGCGTGGACATCATTGGTTTTGAATTGCATTTTGTACCGGTTCTCAAACACGAGGGAGGTTCTGTGTGGCCAGTGGAGGGCCAGGGAGGACAGAGGTCCCAGTCAGAGACTTGGAGAAGTTCTTTTAGTTTCTGAGTCTCAGCTTTCTGTTTTCGAAAGGAAATCTTACCTACCTCATGGAAAAGTCATGAGGGTTAAACAGGGAAACTTCTGTTATGTGCCTGGTACAGAGTGCTTCCTAGGGCATGTTCAGTACGTGCTACTTGCTGCCCCTTCCTTCTTGTGTGACCCTTCCCATGTCATCTGACCCCACATCCTGGGGATGGGGTGTGGGGTAGTGACTATCAGAAGATTCATAGTGCTGATACATAGGGTGATTTAGACCGTAGGGCTGAATTTCTGATGCTGGCATTTTCTCCCCAAATCCAGAAAGTGTGGTCCCTATGTCCTAATGGAAGGAAGTCACAAGTGTGGATGTTGAGCTGGGGAGGGGCCTTGTGGGCAGGCAGGAGGCCCACGTGATGGGAGTGTGGAGCAAGGGGGCTCACGCTGGGATCACAAAGGAGTGTGGCTAAGGGTGATGGAGCCCCCAGTGGCTGTGCAGAGAGGGGGGTGCCGGGACCTGGCCCTGTTCTGGCTGTGTATGGTGGACAGGGGTAGAGGGCTACGAACGGTCTCCCAGGAGACTGTGGGAAGCTGGTCCACACTCCAGGGATGAGGAGAATTGGAGAAAGTGGCCAGAGTCCCCACTCTCAGCACCCTGGGCCTGCACACACCATTCTGCCACCTCGTTCATGCCTCCCGGGAGCAGGGCACTGAGCTGAGTCTTGCATGTGGACCTAAACAAAGACCACCCAAATGGGGATAGGCAGATGCTGCTTGTTCAGAGCTTGCTGTGGCAAGGGAGGCAGGCCCCTCACTGGTGTTTTGGCAGAGACCCACTGGCAGGTGTTGGGTGTGCCCTGACTGGAGGCTGGGGGCCGGTTACCTCGAAGCAGGACAGCTTTCTGTGGTTGGTCCTAAGTTGGAAGCAGGAACCAAAAACTAGGGAAGCCGTCAGTTACAAAGCAGGTCCTGGTCATCATGCACCAGTTACCACGCGGGTTATCATCGGGCTTCTGGGACTCGTTGCTAGAGGTAGTGGTCTGACTTTCTAGAAGGCTGGCTTCTAGGTGGTGGGCTGGCTTCCAGGGCTGGTTACTGTAGATGAGGGGTTGCTTCTCTGGGCTGGTGGCTGCAGATGGTGGGTCAGAGTCCTGTTCTTATTTGTGGTCTGTTCCTGGTCTGTATACTTCTTTTTCTTGCACTTTGCTTAATGCGCTTTCTACATGTTTTTTTTTGTTTTTTTTTTTTTACAAATCAAAGGTTTGTGGCAACCCCACAGCAAGCAAGTCTGTTGGTGCTTTTTTCCCAGCAGCATACTTCTGTCTCTGTGTCACATTGTGGTCATTCTTGGCACTATTTCAAATGTTTTCATTATATTTGTTACAGTGATCTGGGATCCTGTTGATTACAACTTGCTGACAACTCAGATGATGCTCAGCATTTTTAGCAATCATGTATTTTTAAATGAAGGTATGTGCATTGTTTTTTTAGACATAGTGCCATTCCATATTTAGTAGATGACAGCGTAGCGTAAGTGTAACTTTTATATGCACTGGGAAGCCAAAAAATTCACTTGACTAGCTTTACTGTGATGCTGCTTGATTGTGGTGGTTTGGGATGAAGCCCGTGTTACCTCTGAGGTATGTCTGTATTCAGAAGAATGAGTGTGACACAGTCTGTTCCTTTGAGTTATTCACAGCTCAGCCCACAGCCTCTTATCTGGTGGGTCAGGGAACAGAGTGGCCCCATTAGTCATCGTGTCTCTTTATGGCAGGGTCCCAGCCCACATCAGAATTTGAAAACCGGGGACAGTCAGTGGTATCTAGCTGACGGGCACAGTTTGTTTGCCCTATAGTGTTTTAAAAACTCATGACCACGTTAAAAAACCAACCAACCGGGAGATTTCTCATAAAAATCAGAAGATTGGGCATGTGGCTGAAGCAGAGTAGTCCTGCTGCTCTTGGTGGGACATGTGTCCTCCACATCACCCACTGCATCCGCTCTTGTCCCCATCTGGGCTTCTGCCTGGCCTCTGTGGGCATCCGATTCTGTCAGGACCAACAAGCTGGGCTCAGCTGAAACCCGGAGAGGAGGGAGCTTACGCACCAGGGATAGAGCCAAGCCAGTTTGCTTTTAGCGGGTGGGCAGTCAGTCCCCACAGAGCCCCTTCATCTGCCCCGGAGGTTCCTGGGGTGGTGGGAATGGAGGCCGCCTCTGGTCTCAACAGTGGGTGGCCCACCTGTGTTCAAAGGCTGAGATGCAGTGAAATGCAATTAATAGCATCAACAGTCAAGTTCTGCTGAAAGTGGCTCAGGTTTCTGATGACTTACGTTGTAGTTCAGGGTGCCGCCTGCCCTAGCACCTTAGTGACAAAGAGGCAGCACCGTTCAGTTGCTGACTGGAGCACTGACCCACAGAGCTCTGGTGAGGGGCCTGGCCGATGGGTCAAAGAGCAGACTTTCTAACTAAAGTTAGATTAAAAAAAAAAAAAGATCTCTGTGTACTTGGAAACAGCTCTCTAAGCAGATTTAAGAACAGTCCATCACTGGGCGCCTAGGCGGCTCAGTCGGTTAAGCGGCTGCCTTCGGCTCGGGTCGTGACCCCAGCGTCCTGGGGTTGAGTCTCATGTCGGGCTCCCTGCTCAGCAGGGAGTCTGCTTCTCTCTCTCTCTCCCTCTGCCTCCTCCTCCCTGCTCTGTCTCTCACTCTTTGTGTAAGATAAATAAATAAAATCTTCAAAAAAAAAAAGAACAGCCCGTTGTTCAAAGACCGTCCATGCCCCCAGCCCCCTCTGTACCATCAGAGGCCTGAGCTCATCTATCTTGTCATGGGGCACTGCCATTTTTCTCTTTTTGGATTCAGAAACTTGAGGGTGAAGGCATCAGGTCACATTGTTGGTGAGGATTGAGATACCTTTTTTTTACCCTTAAACGGGAAAAGTCAAACAAAAAAAGTAGACTAATACAATGAAGCCCATCGCCCAGCTAAAATGGCAACTCATAACTAATCTTGTTTTATCTACACATCTGCTACGTACTTAACCCTTATTATTTTGAAGTAATTCTCATGACATTGTTAAGTATCTAAGCAAAACTTTATTTGAATGAATGCTCAAGTCCTTTTGTCACTGTACCAAAAACTAAAGGCCAGCCCTTGGATTGCCAATCTGTAGTCTGTCCCTCGCTGGCCCTGGTTTCTTGGGTAAGCCCTTAAGCTCCGTGACCCTTGGTGTTCTCTGTGGAAGCGCCCAGACCCTGCTGTATCCGGCTTGCCTCGGTGGTTGTTCACGAGGCTCTGATGAGATCACGAGGGGGTGGAAGCGGGGTACACGGTGCACTGCTACACAGATAAAAGAATTACTTATTGAACGTACTGGCCACGTGAAAGACCGCCCCCTCCCTCCCTGCTCTTCCAGCGCCCTCGACTGGCCAGACTTTGGAAGTGGCATCATTGTCCGTTCCCGTCTTTCTTACACGCCCCGGAGTGTCCAGAGTCCTTTTCCCAGGCAGATGGGAAGGTCACAGGCTGAGATGTGACCCCTTATACAGCCTGTCTGGCCCTGTGTCCCTGCCCACCAGCCTTTCCCAGCCCCCGGTGTGCCCCAGCGCCCATGCCTGACCCGGGGCCTGGCCTGCCCCCTCCCCAGCGCCACATTCAGGGGGACCACCCCCAGCCGGCCCATCAGGTGAGGGGCCTGTCACAGGGCGAGTTGGCCCACAAGTGGTTTGGTCCCTTGGGGTCTTATTTTTTGCTGTTATTTCCTCTGCCTAAAAATAGCATTTTCTATCTATAGTTGCCTAGTTTGGAACAAAACTATTTGTTGCTCAGAAGTTAGGGCAGCAGACTTCCTGACCGCCTGCCGCCCAAGTGTGCGGTGAACCCCCGGTTCCACTAGCCTCCTGAAAAGCAGGGACCCTGATTAGCAAGAAGAGGTTTAATTGAATTTTAAGAGAAAAGGAGAGAATAGATACAAAAGTAGCCAGAAAAAGCAGTCTCTCAAAATGAAGCAGCCCGGCTTGTCAGAGAACGGTGGCCCCTTTTGTGTGGTGCCGCCTGGGGACTACCCGGAGTTCCCGTTCTTGAACTGTCCCATTGGAAGGGCATTTCCTACTAAAGAAAGAGCTCTTTTGTCCTCTCCTGGGCCTTGGCCTTTCGGCCCCTCACATGGCAGGGTGTGTGTTCCCAGAGAAGGCTTGCTCTGCTCTGCTGAGGCCCTGTGGCTTCGTGCTCGGGATGTGGGGTCAGGCCGGCCTGGGAGCCCTTGCTGAGTGATGGGGACTCTCTCCAAGCCTCTTGCATATCAAGATGTTATTCGTGACTCGAATTCTGGAGCCCTTCTGGTAGTGATGACGTGAAGCAAGCGAGTGAGCAGTGCCCAGCACACACTCTGGTGGATTACAGCCACATGTTTGTAGGCTCGCTGTTTGTAGCTCATCTAGAGCAACTTTGCCCCAGCCCACAAGGAAGGCCCAGGGACACCCTGTTCCCATGAAGAGAGGACCCAGGGGCCTCGTAAGATCCATAGACCTCTGCTTGGTTCGGACGTGGTGCCACGTACCAGTTTCAGGAGTTACCTGCTCTCTGAGAAGAGACGGTGGTGGGGGGTCTGGGGCCTTGCTCGTCACTTCTTGGAGCTGGTCCTCCCATGATGCTGACTGCAGGTCCGTGGTGTTGAGGGACCCAGCCTCTGATCCAGCTCAACCTGCAAAAAAATCTGGTAACTTTGATACTTAGCTGAAGCCTGTCTTTTTTCTCAATGGGTTTGCAATTCTGAAGGGAGGAGTGATGTTATTAATTAATTCTCTTAAGTCGTCAACATGGCAGGACTAAGGCTGGAAATAATTGCTTCAGAAGTGCGTGGTTCAGCCTTTTATCTTAGGCACTTTATCATGACCATGGCCTTATAGGATATTGGGGCCCAAGGGATCCTCTAACTGTCCTTTGGCCCAGGGTGTTTATACAGATCTGCAGCCTGGAGCTTCTAGGCTTCAGGAGCAGGGCAGGGCGTGGGGGCATGGCCGTGCAAATAGCTCCTTGGAGGACTGGAAGTCGGGAAGCACCAGTCCCGTGTACCCGTGACACTTGATGGGCCCGTCGGGGAGCTTGGTAGCAAGCAAGCGACCCAGTTCTGGCCGAGCTTAAAAGAACCATGTTGGAAGGGCGCTGGGGACAGGGACACACAGAACTGGTTGACAGCCAGGGGCCAGACTGGTGAATGGGCAGGACCCAGAGGGCACCAGGACACAGGACGACCTTCCGGCCAAAGCCATCTTCCCACCTTCCCACCTCCTGGTGGCCGAGCTGGAACCACCTCGAGCTCTCCTTTTTGTCCCTTCCTAGATTGAGAGTGTCCATCTGATAGGCTGAGCACGGGGTCTGGGGCCACTCCTCCTGATCTCAGTTCTGGTCCCGTCAGCTTACTGCCTTCCGATTCTCTGGAAAAGGGTACCTGGAATTATTCTTCTCCCCAGATCACACTTTTAGGGGAAAGACAATTAAAAAAAAAAAAAAAAAGAAAAGAAAAAGCTAAGGTCTGGTTAGAGATGGAAATGGCTATTGGCAGTCAAACGTTACCAGATGACCCCAGGAGTGGGGCGGCCAGATCTAGTAACTGGGGCAGCCGGGTGATCGGGGAAGGCAGTGCTTGGGAGCTGCAGGAGGCCAGCACAGGCACCTCCCCTCAGCTGGTCTGGTCGGAGAGGCGTGCCCAGGAGGGGACGTGTCCAGGACGTCGGGGGAGTGGGAGGCTGGGGGGTTGGAGCGAGGGGTGGCCCTAGAAAGAGAGTCAGAGGGATGTGTTCTAGACTCGTGAAGTTGGAAGTGAGGCAGTGGGTGGCCTTCAGGGATGAGAGAAAGGGCGAGACTCACCTGAGGACCCCCAGAGAGGCGGGGTGGGACTGGGCTGGCCCCATGGCACCATACTGTTGCCCCCAAAACTCAAGTCGGGTGGGGGGTGTTCCTGAACACCAGAGAAGTGTATTCTCTCCATTGAGAAGGAGATAGTATGGCACAGGGAGTGAGAAACACAAACAGTGTCAGCAGCGGGCAGCGATGCGGACATGCCCTTGACATAGGAAGCCGTGTGGTCAGAGACCGAGGAGGCAAGGGAATGTGAGCACTTGAGCAGGTGGCAGGTTCCTGCAGCAATGGCGATAGGAAGTGCGTTTTTTCATTTTTGTTTTGGTCTTTTGGGGTTTTTTGCTGTTGTTCAGTGAAAACATGCATGTTTCTGAAAAATGAGAGTGGACAGCACGCCGGAGGGGTGGGAGAGGGGAAAGCTCAGAGTGGCTATTAGCTCATCTCCATGCAGGCGAGGTATCTGGAAAGTCCACCCTATTGCAGTGTTTGTGATCAGCCCACAGGGTACATTTTTCTGAACCATACCCAAGAGTGGCCTTTTCGGTGGAAAATGTGCATTATCACTTTCGGAGGGAGGTGGGACTTGCCATTGTGTCATATTGGGTGGACGGAGAAGCTCCTGCCCACGAAGGGCCCTGTCACCCCCCCCCCCCCCCCCCCCGCCCCAGGCAGTGAGAGGCGGCCCTGAAGGCCCGACTGCCATGCAGCCAGCTTCCCAGGGTTGGGTGCGCTGCGGCAGAAAGGGCTGCCCGCCCGCCGAGAAGCTTCCTGGCCACACTGCCTAAGCCCAGGCCCCCACGCAGTGCACACCGTCCATGTGGAAGAGGAAGGAGGGCAGAGGCCGCAGAGAACATTTCGTGGAAAAAAGTGCTATTTGAGTTGCCTTCTGTAGGCAGAAGTGGGGGTGAAGAGGAGGGAGGCGTTTCGGAAAGGGACAGGAAGTACCATTTGGGTCCGCCTCTGCTCGCACAGCTGGGGCCGTATTCCATCGTCCTGTCCTCGTGGTTTGTCCCACGTCCATGCACCACCTATTTATTACTACTGACTGCTTATTTAAAGGGTTTTTTTTTTTTTTACTTAAATAAGTTTACTTAAAGAGGAAGATTTGATCCCTGCTGTGATTTGCATGTTAGTATGATTGTCCTGGTCTTTGTCATTAGCTTTTCTGGGGCCCCCTCTGCCCGGGTCAGAACTGTCCCTTGCATGGCCCACATGGCTGGGACCTTCACTGCCACCAGCGTGACCAGTCATTTTTTTATAACCTTCAACAATCCTTAGGTACACAAGGAGCTTAGAAATCTCTCTCTCTGTAGGAAGTCAAACACAGATAAGTGCCCTGGGCTTGACCCCCTCATCTGCGTCTCCCTCCTAGCAGTGGCCTCGGCCATCAGCTTCATGGGTATCCTTCCAGGCCTTTTTCCTGTGGTATTTCATTAGTTCTATCGTTGTTTTAACATAAGTGGTATCACATTGTTTGTATGCTGGCTTTTTCTCCTCATAAATCTGTTGAAATTATTTTAATAAGTTAAAACAGTAATAAATACTTTTTCTTTAAAAAAGTATCACAGTACACAAAAGGGTAATTCCAAGACACAGAGCTGACCATGTCCTTTCTCTGCTTCCGAGTCTGAAAGGCTCCCCGTTGCCACCCTCTGCTGGGCGGCAGGGCCCTGCACATGGGACTCCTGCCTCCCGCTGCAGCCTCCCTGGCCCCTGGACCTCTTCTGTCCCCAGTTTTCCTGCAGCACGGGGATGGTGATCCCTCCCCGGGTTCTGTACATACCCCTCATCTGTGGACTGGCGGCCCGAGGACAGTGGAGGGGGCTTTCTTGTGCAGCCCCGGGCAGCGTGGAGGCGGGACAGCATACAGGTCGGAGCCCGGGCCGTGGCTGTGCTGCTGGGCTCCCCGCTGCTGAGCCCGGGGGTGCAGTGCGGGCGTGTCAGCCCCCGTGCACCTGGGCCTGGCCGCCGAGCTGGAGGAGGACGCCGGTGCCTGCCTCGGAAGGCTGCTGGCACGATGGCCTAATGACTGGAAAGTGCTTGGTGCAGGGCCTCTCCCGGGGCGGGGGGGCGGGCGGGTGGCAGCGTTGCGCTGTGAGTTGGTACTCTTACCCTGGGCTGGTCGTTGTTAGTCTTCACCGCTGCCACCCCGCCCCTGGGGCCCAGCACATGGGCTGGCACGGGAGTATTCAGTATGTGTCTGGATGCGGATAAAGGGAAGAGGGTATAGAGACAGACCCGGCACAGGTGAGGCTGCACAGGGACAGGCTCCTTGTGGGGAAGTGTGCGGAGAGGGGCATAGTGGGCGGCGGGGGGCGGCCAGCAGGTGGGGGCTTCCAGCAAGGACGGGAAGAGCTGGGCAGGCTCAGACACGATTTCGCCCGCCTTCCTGCTCACAGCACCTCCCCTGTCTGCATACTCGAGGAAGGAAGAAGCCACACGATTGGCATTGACCCAAGAGGGCTGGGCCTTCACCTACTCCCGGCCTTGCTGTCACAGGCTCAGGTGGATGTAATGACTTCTTGATGCCTCCCCCGCTCCCGCCTTGGCCCGTTTCTCTCCAGGCACTGCCACCGTGGAGGAGCTGGAGGACTTTATCAACAACATTAACAGTGTCTTGGAGTCCTTGTATATTGAGATAAAGAAAGGAGCCACCGAAGACGACGGGAGACCCATTTACGCGCTGGTGAGTGCACGCGGCGCCCTCTCGCGGCGTCTATGCGGAACTGCGGTGGGTGGAGGCACCCCCGCCCCAGCAGCCCTGCAGTGGAGACACAGACCCAGCCCAGTGTGGCCGCCCGGCCCGCCTGGGGCCACCGGTGCCACTGTCAGTGTCCTGTGCCATGATCAGGGCTGGGGCTGTCACCCCGATGCTCACTTCACTGCCCCAACCGAGCCCCTGCCTGAGACAGGTTGTGTTTGTTGACAGTTCAACGCAAGAAGTCCCCTCAAATGTGTGCGGTACTAGGATTAAAGGGAGGAAAGTGGTTTTTCATTTAGAATAAGGCATGGACGCTGAGAGAAGAATGTGTGGCGCGCTGGGACTGAGAGCCATCTGGGCCTCCTGTTGGGCTCCGGTGTCCCTCCTGGCCAGCAAGCGAGGGGAGAAACAGGTGGGCAGAGCAGACAAGGCCCCCGCCTGGGCCAGGGCACTGCCGCAGGCCCATCCAAGGAGGCCGGGCTCCCACCAGCCAGGCCCACCCAGTGAGGGGCGCTGGCCAGGGACTCCCACACTCTTCCAGGGCAAAAGGGCTGTGGCATCAAATAACTGTGGAAATGCTGGGTTAAATCAGTAAATCGGGTTTGTTTACTGCTGGACTTCTCAGTGCCTTTTGCTTGTGAAGCTCCATTAGGCATGCAGACAAGTTCCCCAAATGTATCTGGGTTTGGAAGATACTCCACCACCTTTGGAGTTCTAAGAATCTCTGAGAATCAGACATGCTGACTGAGCTAGAGATTGAAGTCTAACGTAGGACTGGTCACAGATCCAGCCCTGTGGCCGGCAGCGCCTGGACACCGGCGCTCAGTGACCAGGGAGGGGCCCAGCCTAACTGCCACACTGACCTCTTTTGTAGGTGAATCTGGCGACCACTTCTGTTTCCAAAATGGCCTCAGATTTTGCAGAGAATGAGCTGGATCTGTTCAGAAAGGCTGTAAGTACAGTAGCTCCTGTTTATCGGCCGGGCTTCTTATGGGAAACCTGCTGTCTTCCATCATTAGAAATGGAAACTGTGATCTTGGAGGGTCACCACTGCTGCCCCAGGTGGCCACGTGCGGGGGGGGCCACTGGGCAGCTCACCACCACCAGGTGACGACGGGAGGGCACCATGGCTGCTCAGGAAGGAAGAGCTTCTTTAGGTTTGCACCAGGCCTCTGGGTGTGTGATGCAGGTGAACAGGTGTTATTGCCTGGTGCTCACAGCACGATCCACACCCGCAGCAGCAGCACCAGGGAGCTTGCTAGAAAGGCCGAATCCCAGTCCCCCGTCCCCCCCCCCCCCCCCCGCCCAGACCGTTGAATCCAGGTCTGCGTTTTAACGAGGTGTCCCGACGGCACATTTCACGTTTGAGAGGCACTGCTCTGCCTCCCCGGCATCAGAGCTGTTGGCTCAGCCCTCCTGTCACTCACCTGGCTGAGCACCTGGTCCCGACAGTGGTTCTCAGCCCTGGGTGCACCTTTTAATAACCGGGAGGTAAAAACAGTTGAGATAGTCTGTCCTCACCCAGATCTGGTGAATCCAAGTCTCTGGTGACTAGTCCTAGAATCATTCCTTTCTGAGCCTCCTCTGGTAACAGTTGGCCCCCGAGCGTGCTGCTTCCTGGCCCACCCTGGCTTTGCTGTCCTGTCCTTCCTGCTTCCAGCTTGCCCCTCACCCCCGATGTCCTGCCCACATGTGAGTAGGAGGGTGCTACCTCTGTTCATTCATTCCTCAGCTTCTCTACCTTCAGGGAGGTGGGGGCGAGAGAGAGGATTCTTGATTTGGGGGCATTAAGGTTATTCATTTGGCAGGTCACAGGGTGAGCGCTGAGTCAGAAGGGCTGGCCGTGGTTATGGCTTTTGGTGCTGGTTATGAACAGGCTTCCCGAAGGAGCGTCCCCAGGCCCAGTTCTGCCTGCGGTTGGGAGTGGTTTTGCTGCCCCTCCCCCGCCCCCCGCCAGGATCGGTGTTCTTGCTCAAATGTTGTTTTTGCTGATTTGATAGATGAACGTGGTACCTGCTGTTTCTTCCAGTTGGAACTGATTATTGACTCAGAAACTGGCTTTGCGTCTTCCACAAATATTTTGAACCTGGTTGATCAACTTAAAGGCAAGAAGATGAGGAAGAAGGAAGCAGAGCAGGTGTTGCAGAAGTTTGTACAGAACAAATGGCTGATCGAGGTAGCGTGTCCAGTGCTTTCCCTGGCTTGGCTCACTGTTTAGAACAGATAACAAATTTTCCTCCAAAACCATATCGTATCCAGTTGTTGTCCATTGAGCTGGGGTCGGGCCCCTTGTCTGCTTTAACGCGCACCGTGTCCCTGAGAAGGCCTTGCAGCCTCATGCTCGCTCCCGTGGGGTGCCCCGGGAGCAGGGACTGCACCCAGGTTTGGGGCCCTGGTCCACAGACGCAGGGCGGTGGGCGCGGCTCTGGCGTCGGACCTGGGCCTGGTTCCTGGGCAGGAGGGCTGGAGCCCCTCTTCTGTGAGTGGGGAGGAGCCGTGTCCCCTCCCAGGCGGGAGAAGGCTGGGAATGGGATGGCTGGTGCCCAGTGCCCAGTGCTGGGCTCCCAGAGGAGTTGCCGTCCTGGTGGTTGCTATCGTCAGTGTCATGTTATTCAGGGCCTTTCGCTTAGATGCAGGCCCTGGGGAGCCAAGAGGACGTGCGGGCAGGTGCTGGAGAGGAGCTGGGAGCATCCGGGAAGGGACCAGATGGAGCTGAGTTCCCGTTTCTAGACCCCGTGGCTGCTTCTGCTGACTGGAGCGGAGCAGATGTGTCTGGGCTTTTCCCACAAAGGGCAGCACCGCTACTAGGAACCCCGAGGCACCCCGGCCCCACGCTGGCCCCTGACCTCAGCTGTGTCCCTGAGCGCCTGTGTCTGCGCCCACGTACTTGGGGCAGTCCTCCACCTCCTCCCCCGCTGGTTGGAGCCACGGCTGCAGGCCGTGCGGCCACTGCTCATGGGGAGGCGCTGATCCACCTCCCTTCCAGGGAGAGCCTTCTCAGGTCACCAGAGCTGCGGCGCTGAGTCCTCGCTCCCGCAGTGCCTGAGGCGCTTTCCTGCCTGGATGGGCCACAGGGCCGAGGGCAGGGGTGCCGGGATCCCCCCTACCCCGGGCACAGTTGTGCCCACTGCGGCCTCAGGTCCTCCTGTGGCCCCATAACAATGGAGGGCCCCTTGGCTCTGGCGTTGAGCTGATCGCGCCACGGCCCTGTGGCGTGGGTGACGTCTCCCCTGTCCGGCCTGGGCTCGGGAGACTGCAGCTCCCAA